ACGTACAAACAACACGTAAACGCCCACACACGTGAAAACACACACACCACACACATCACAACCCAACACACACAACACACACCATACACAACACACACACACGCCCGCAACACACACGACACAAAAAAACAACACGTAAAAAAACAACACGTAAAAACAACACGTAAAAACAACACTCAAAAACAACACTCAAACACACCACGTAATCACACACACACACACGTAACAAACAACACGTTAAACCACACAACATTCACAACACACACACAACATACACACAACACATACGCCCACAACACACACGCACGCAACACACACGACACAAAACCAACACGTAACAACAACACGTAGAAACAATACGTAAAACGACACGTAAAAGCACACACGTAAATCATCATGTCGATTGCCGTGACGGGAGTGGTTGTACACGCCCGACCATGAGGATGGCGTTGAAGATGACGGTGTTGATGGGAGAGAGCTTGGTACTGCACGTCTCGTTGCCAGTAGGTCGCCGCCTGAAGCAACAACCTATTAGCAACGGAACGTGCCGCGCCAAGCTCTCCCTCATCATTATGTTGACAGTCGTGCCACGAGTGTGGCTGGACACACCGATCATGAGGATGGTGGTGAAGATGGCCGTGATGATGGCAGAGAGCTTGGCACGGCATGTTTCGTTGCCAATAGGTCGCCGTTTGAAGAGGCGACCTCTTAGCAATGAAACGTGCCGCGCCAAGCTCTCCCTCACTATCATGTCGGCAGTCGTGCCAGGAGTGGTTGGACACGCCCGACCATGAGGATGGCGTTGAAGATGACGGTGTTGATGGGAAAGAGCTTGATACTGCACGTTTCGTAGCCAATAGGTCGCCGCCTGAAGCAACGACGACCTATTAGCAACGAAACGTGCCGCGCCAAGCTCTCCCTCATCATTATGTTGGCAGTCGTGCCGGAAGTGGTTGGACACACCGTTCGTGGGGATGGTGGTGTAGATGGTGGTGGTGAAGGCAGAGAGCTTAGCACGGCACGTTTCGTTGCCAATAGGTCGTCGTTTGAAGCAGCGGCCTCTTCGCAATGAAACGTGCCGCGCCAAGCTCTCCCTCATCATCATGTGGGAAGTAGTGACGCGAGTGGTTGGACACACCCGACCATGAGGATGGTGTTGAAGATGACGGTGTTGATGGGAGAGAGCTTGGTACTGCACGTTTCGTTGCCAATAGGTCGCATCCTGAAGCAATGACCTACTAGCAACGAAAAGTGCCGTGCCAAGCTCTCCCTCATCATTATGTTGACAGTCGTGCCAGGAGTGGTTGGACGCACCGATCATGAGGACGGCGGTGAAGATGGTGGTGATGGCAGAGGGCTTGGCACGGCACGTTTCGTTGCCAATAGGTCGTCGTTTGAAGCAGCGACCTCTTAGCAACGACACGTGCCGCGCCAAGCTATCCCTCATCATCGTGTCGGCAGTCGTGACGGGAGGGGTTGGACACACCCGACCATGAGGATGGTGTCGACGATGATTGTATAAGCGGGAGAGAGCGTGGTACCGCACACTGCACGTCTCGTTGTCAATAGGTCGCCGCCACACAACACACAACACACAACACAGACAACACAGACACAAAACATAAAAAACACGTAAAACAAAATGTGCAAACACACACACAAAACGTGAACACAACCCACAACACACACCCACAACACACACGCCCACAACACACACGCCCGCAACACACGCACAACACGCTAATACAACACGTAAACACAACACGTAAGACAACAGCACGAATAAACAACACGTAAAAACGCACACAACACACAACGCACGCACAACACGACACACACAACACAAACACGACGCGTAAAAACAACACGTTAAAACAACACGTAAAACCAACACGTAAAAACAACAGGTAAAAACAACAGGTAAACACGACACGTAACAACAACACGTAAAACAAACACCCACGTAAAACACACACGTAAAAACACACACACAGCACACACACACAACACACACACACACACAACACACGCACAACACACGCCCGCAACACACACGCCCTTCTCCAACTCCTCCTCCTCCTTCTCCTCCTGTTGTTTGTGTGTGTTGTTTGTGCGTGTTGTTTGTGCGTGTTGTTTGTGCGTGTTGTTGTTACATGTTGTTTTTGCGTGTTGATTTTACGTGTTGCTGTTGCGTATTGTTTTTACGTGTTGTGTTTACGTGTTGTTATTTGCGTGGTGTTTTTACATGTTGTTTTTACGTGTTCTTGCTTTACGTTTTGTTTCGATGCTTTCTTTCGTCATTGCTTTTTGTTTGCGTTTGCGTTTGCTGCGTGTTGTTTTTGCGTGTTGTTTTCACGTAGTCCGTCACGCACGCATACGTGTGCTCTGCACCGCCACACCAGGAGACGCTGATGAAGTGGACGAAGAGCCCGACGGCGATGACGCACCTGCGGGAGGCCAGGCGAGACTGGCCTTCGCTGAAGTCGACATCGTCTTGAGCGCGGAGTCGCTCCGGGACCGTCGCAAGCTCACGAGGGGCACGGCCTCGCTCAAGCAGCGCGAGACCATGGCCATGATCAGTCGCGCGTCTTTGAGTTTGCCCGAGAGGGCGAGCAAACACTTCAGTGGCACCAACAAGGGGACCATGATCGGGCAAGTCGTTCTCGGCAAACCTGATGATGAATGGAACGCCACGGTGAAATTCAAGCGCCAGCTGTACGGGAAGAAGTTCCGTATTGCGGTGGGTGGAAAGAATCCAGAGGCAGTGGCGCCGCGCTTGGACGGGGACTTCGAGCCAGTATTCTGGTGGTCCTTGCCGCGGACCTTCTACGAAGAGTTGCTCCACAGGCGCGGGGGACTAAGGCTTTAATGCGTTGCAAGGTCACTGGCCTTGCGGTCGAACCCCACGAGCCTTGCGGTCGAACCTTCGGAAGGTTCAGCCTTGTGGGGGTTGACTCCATGGCTGGCGTACTTGTGATGCCTTTCGCCTTTACCACCCGTCCAGATATTTCGGCAAGTCCATCGTAGATATGACCCCAGGCGCAGGCTCGTTTGGGGAAGCGTGCCTGTACAATAGGGTTGGCTACTCCTGCGTGGCATTCCCCGAGGAGCATGCGAAGGGCTTGCAGAGCAGGTTCGAGAAGGCTGTGCTTCGCTTTATGTTTGATGAGAAGTGCACGGCTCTGTTCTCCCCAAAGTGCGCAGGGGCCCTGAGCAGCAAGGACACTCCGGGGAAAACGCCGAAGAAGCCGCGCGGCAACAAGCGCAGTGCAACAGAGGACGCCCCAGACGGCGATGGCGACAAGACGAGTTCGAAGAAAAAGCCCCCGATGAAGAGCACCAAGGGTAAGAAGAAGAAGACAGACCAGGAGGCTGAGGACGAAGGCCCGCCAGAGGAGGAAGGGGAGGGCGCCGGAGAAGACGGTGGCGTTTCGTCGTGGGCGCTGTCCGATGACAAAGAGGATGGGAACGACAGCGACTAGCTAGAGCCTGAGCACGGCGGCAGCATGGCCTTGGCAGTTGAGCCAGCTTTGAAAGCTAGTCTGCTTGAGGGAGGGTGAAGTAAGACGGGAGGACATGAGGGCAGGTCAGAGGGAGGAATGGGATGGGCGTTGGAGGCACAGGAGATAGTGAGGTAAGTAGACTGGAAGGCTGAATCCCAGACTGGCATGCTACTTCTTTTGGCGGCAGCTTGGAGCCCTGGCGTGCGCATCAATGTGCGATCTGTATATATCCGAATGTGTCTGTGCTCGGCTCCCGTGCTGTGCAGTGCGCGTGCCTCTCTCTCTCTCTCCTTTTCATGTTCATGCTCTCAGTTGGGCTTGTCTCAATCAACGGTGCATGTGGTTGCGGAAGTCATGCATGCAAGCATGTATGTAATGATTATCGCAACGCTGCTACATTACATTGCGAACCATGCCATGTACTACCTACACAGAGATCGATACAAAGTGTTGTCCACCTTCGTCCACCTTCTTCCAATCCAATATCCTGCTTAAGTGTTGTGCACAGACGGTCCACGCAGATGTTTTTTTTTTATAAGCCCAGGCTGCTCGGCTGCTAAGGTGGGGGGGATGGGCAGACGCAAGTCGCAGATGCCACCCCCCCACGATGGCGGGATGCGCCCATCTTGGAATGTTGTAAGTTGTTCGACGCAACTGTTGGGAAAAGATTATGATGGGGAGATGGGAATCAGAGATCAGACTCTCTCACGTGGCATTGCAAGGTGCGGAATTGGCTAGATCCTGTGAATCCCGGTTGCGCCCACTTGGTCGCCACGGCTGGGCGTCGCTCGAAACCGCCGTTGGAGATTCTGCCGCGCAACTGCTGGATATATCACTCTCCCGAGGGGTCCCGCTCGCAGGGGGGCGAGGGTGATGAGGAAAAGCAGAAGCAGGATTATCATACAGATTTCGATGAGGAAGTGAATGCTGAGCGCGATGAGGAGAAGGAGAAGGAGGAGGAGGAGGAGGAAGAGAAGGTTGGGGAAAACAAGGAGGAGGAGCAGGAGGAGGAGGAGGAAGACAATGTGGGCGAATGATGAGAATGACACAACATGTGGGCCATACGCACCCCTAAACACGGCCTCAGCCGACTGAACCAACTCGCTCTCAGCGCTCAGCGACGTCTCCGAGCCGCCAGCCTGGCAGCTCGGAGACGTCGCTGACGCTGAGAGCCCAGCTCGGAGACTCGCTGAGCGCTGAGAGCCCCCCTCCCGTGCCCCAAACAGCCCCAGCCGCCCTCCTCAGCCTGTGAGCAGGCCCGCTCTCAGCGCTCAGCGACGTCTCCGAGCTGCCAGGCTGGCAGCTCGGAGACGTCGCTGAGCGCTGAGAGCCCTCCCCCGGACGCCCTCAGACCCGCTCTCAGCACTCAGCGACGTCCTCCCGACGAGTCTGGCTCTCAGGCTCACGACGTCTCCGAGCTGCCAAGGCTGGCGCTCGGAGAACGTCCGCTTGAGCGCTGAGAGCCCCCTCCCGTGCCCCAAACAGCCCAGCCCCTCCTCAGGCTGTTGACAGGCCCTTCTCAGCGCTCAGCGACGTCTCCGAGCTGCCAGGCTGCAGCTCGGAGACGTCCTGAGCGCTGAGAGCCCTTCCCCCGGACGCCTCAGGACCACCATGGGAGCAGACCCGCCTCAGCGCTCACGAGACGTCTCCGAGCTGCTCTCCAGCGCTCAGCGCCGTCTCCGAGCTGCCAGCCTGGCAGCTCGGAGACGTCGCTGAGCGCTGAGAGCTCGGAGACGTCGCTGAGCTCTGAGAGCCCCCCGCCCTTGCCCCAAACTGCCCCTGAACACGGCCTCGGCCGACTGAGCCAGCTCGCTCTCAGCGCTCAGCGACGTCTCCGAGCTGCCAGGCTGGCAGATCGGGGACGTCGCTGAGCGCTGAGAGCCAGCTCGGAGACGTCGCTGAGCTCTGAGATCCCCCCTCCTTGCCCAAACAGCCCCTCATGCCCCTCACCAGCGCTCAGCGACGTCTCCGAGCTGCCAGGCTGGCAGATCGGGGACGTCGCTGAGCGCTGAGAGCCAGCTCGGAGACGTCGCTGAGCTCTGAGAGCCCCCCCCCCCCCCCTTGCCCCAAACAGCCCCTCAGCGCGCCCTTCACTTCGAAACAGGCCCGCTCTCAGAGCTCAGCGACGTCTCCGAGCTCTGAGAGCCGTCCTGCTCACAGGCTGAGAGCGTGCTGAGGACCATGAGGGCCCTCAGGCCTTTGAGCCAGCTGGGGTAGCTACCCCAGCTGGCTCACAGCTGGGAGACGTCTCCCAGCTGTGAGCCA